TGATACAGCACTAGTAAATAGTTATTTGGTATATAAGGAAAACTACGCTGTAAGCAAAGCAACCATTCTACAGTTTCACGAAAGTCTTTTCCGATCTCTATTGCTTGGTGTGCCATTCGAGAAACTGAAATCGGGTCCGAGACAAAAGTCAACAGGGCAAACGAAGCGGAAGCTCGCTAGTCACAAGTTAGAAGAAATAGAAGGATCTGCGCGCAATCTTCGCAGACGCTGCATTGGTTGCTATGAACAAGCAAGGAAGCAACAATCAAGGGAAGCGAGCTACGCAGCAGCAAAGAAAGTAAAAACTTTACGTTCTGACTGTGATAAATTTTTTTGTCTTGAATGTTTTAACAAGAAGCATCATGTTACGGAATAAAGGACTCAAAAAATATTGAAGGTAGAGTGGATGACATATTTCGTTTAACCTCCTGCCTAAGAAAAAAGCAAAAGAAAGTGTTTTTCTATACAGTTCCTTCTTAAAATATAGCGTGGCCCACCGGTGGGCCACATCGTGGTGAATGTGTTAAAAACTCGATTATCATAGAACATTACTTTATCGAAATATTGTATAAAACCTATTATGATATATGAAGTATAAGCTAATATGTGCAATTTGATTGAAATAAATGTAATAAAGAGGAAATGTAGATAATTTTGAAGGAAAACCTTTATTTTTTTGGGAATTTAGTTCTAGATTAGTTAAGAAGTTCATGATTGTCAAATTTATGCTCATGATTGCTAAATTTTACAATGTAGACGAATATGTCTCCTGCTTTTCTCTGTTTTGTTGTTCTGAATGATGTTTAAAACAGGTTATTGAATGGGCTGGAAATTTGTTGATTTCTTTTTCTCTTTCATGTTGCTATGTTGATTATGAACAAGAATCAACAATTACAAAGTAGAGAGTAATGCACTCACATTAAAAATGTATTATATACTTTATGAGCATGTGTTAAAAAAAGAATGAAATGTTCGAATGATCGTTTCTTTTAGTGTGCTGAATAACTGAGAACTTCGTAAATAATTCACAGTAAGTAATGTTTCAGTTTTGTATTTGCATCAATAGCTTTTCCCGACATTACCAACCTATCCAGTGATGAATCATCTTCTTTGATAGATTTGTTTGACAACGTATCCATTTCAAGCTGTTCGACAGTACTATCAACAATAAATCAATTGATAAAAAAAAGTTATACTTAATTGACTAGAAATCAAAAATAGGTCGACGTCATCTCTGTCGAATAGTTTACAAAGTTGAATCTGTGAAAAAACACCTTTTGAAGAATACAGAGTATCATTTTTAATTCGAATGATGATGAATGCAGGATGAGCATGACATTGGACATCTTTAGCATCCTACATTATCGAAATCCTTGAAACAGAAACAATCAATAACGACTGACTGTATGCTTTGAAAAAAAAACACCAAATAATGAATGTATTCATTTCATAAAAAGCACTTAAATGCTAACGATATAGACTGAAACATACAGCAATAACTTTTGAAATTTGAATAGCATTTACAATCAATTTAAAATTGAGTGAAATTCATTTTTCAATGTCAAACAGAAAGAAAAAAGAGGCAACAAAGACATGAGTTTGATATAGAGAAACAAATTCTATGAGATGATGTTGCTGTACAGAAATGACACTAGGCTAGACTTTGCCAAGAGAAAAATATGAAAGAGCTGAGGTTAATTAGTAGCAATTTTTGGGACTACACCTTTTCATTCCATTTTTATACTTTGGCTAGATTCAGAAAACTTAATTAATAGGATTTTGACTAAGGAAACTGTGAAAGTATTTCAACACTAATATCTATGCTCAAAATAGTTTCAATCTAAAATATTCAATATGCAGATAAATATTCATTCAGAATACTGGAATGATATAGCATTTTTACAAATCTTCTTCTCTCAGAATGCGCAAAACGATCTACGACTTGTGGGATAATAGAAGCTTGCATTAGTTTAAAGCAGAGATATGATGTGTATTTTGTGTGAACGACATAGTACAGTAGAATATGACTGTTAGTGTATCTCCACCTGGCTAGAAAAATGTTGATTCTATAAGCTAAATTGCAGCATCATTGCGCCAAGAGATGTATCGATATAATATTTTATCAATTTTATTTCATATCATCCTTAGATTGTACCCAGTATCACGTTTATGTGATGTCATCCTTACGTTATATTACTCTTATATCATATCATCTTGATATTGTATCAATTTCCATCCTTGAGCTGTATCGCTCTTATTGTATATCACTCTAGTATGATACCATCCTCATATCAATACATAATACTGTTCATTGTGTTCAATGTGTATTCATTGCTATTGTAATTGTTCTGTGATATACTGTTCTTTGTCAACGTTTCTGCAACCACTATATTACATTCTGTATATATTTCACATTGTTCTCTCCTCATGAGCAGACGATGGTAAAAGTGAAAAAGAAAAGATAATGCGCGATGAGAGCAAGATTGAACGACGATATATACACGTGTGAGTGATGTGTATAGTGGCGTAATAACTTTGTATGTAAAAGAAGAATAGTGTTGTTGAAAAAAAAGAGCAGATGATAGCAACAAGTAACGAAAGTGTGCAGAAATCAATAGCAACAAAGACAAAGTGAAGAACTTAGTGATTTCTATCTTCATTTTTTCGTTACAATCATGGCCTAAAATGCCAAGATCTATATTTGACGACATGTATACAACAAATTTTACTTTCTTCTTACTGTGTCAGTAGGCATATTATCCTATATGACATCTGCTCTTTCTCAGCGTGTTCTTGTACAATCAATGATACATAATGCTCATAATCGTGTTACTCCTACGTTTATCTATGCATGATTACACCTTGCCCTCTTCGTATCGTAATGTACTTCTAATTACATATCGCCATTTACACGTATATTATATGCTTGGTTTTCACCTATGTGTTCTTACTCTCTTGTTCTTCTATATCTGTTGTTTACTTGGTCTCATCATCTTTCTTTTCATCAACTCTTATTCTACTCGTGTATATAAACGTTTGCTTTATATCTAAACGATACGAATGTATGATATGAAGAAATAGAATAAAGTGCAATATCATCAACACTAATATCACTTTTATCATCGATTGTCACATAACGATTAAATGATAGGAAGGAATCAAATAAAGTGTATCAACATCTGTCACACTAATATCTCTTCTACTATCAATTTTTCGTTGCACTTACACGTAACACTACTCACTTGAAGTCACAGAAAAAACGCATACGGGTTCAACAACACAGACGAAGAATTGATTGATCATTAAGAAATTTTTACTATTTCTTGTTTCAGATTGTGTTGATAAGATATGTCTACATCAGTTGAAATTGTAAAGAGAAAAGCTGAAAAGATGCTTCAGTTATGGAATGAAAAACGGCTGCACGAAATGGTAACTATGGCATATGCTCCTGATGCACTCATCTTAGACGGTAGCAATACCTGCCAAGGTCATGATGCAATACTGAAAATATGCGAAGAGTGTCCGTGTACAAACATTGAAATGAGAGATTTACAAACAACAACCAAGGGTGATGACTGTATTATCCAAACATTTAAAAACACATCGAATGATGAAGAGGAAATCTGTACGTGGACATGGAAGCAGATCAATGGTGATTGGAAAATAACTACCGAAGAATGGAGTTGAATTATGACTTTCGATGACCGTTTTGAAAATCCTAAAGACTTTTTGAGGCAATTGTTTCTTTGATAAATTGTTTTATGGAATCTGATCCGTTGGTGTTACATGTGTGTGGGGTGTGGTTGTGTGGGTGTGGGTGTGGTTGTGTGGGTGTGAGTGTGAGTGTAGGTGCGGATGAGGGTGTGGGTGTGAGTGAGTGTGGGTGTGGGTGTGGGCGTGTGGGTGTGGATGAAAAGAAGTGAACACGCACACTCACCCACACCCACACCCACCCACACCCCACATCCACCCACATCCACACCCACCCACACCCACACTCACACTCACACCCACACACACCCACCCACACCCACACCCTCTCAAAAAGAAACTCTTTGTACATGTGACACATGAGGCTCGACTCAAAGGTTTAGCTCGTGAAATACACATGATACATGATAGTCACTTCTAAAACACCATTCATGGAGAAATAAGATTAGTTGTTGGTTTTCGAAATAATCCAAACATTGAATTTGAACTTTCACGTAAACGACCATCGTCATCCGTATTGAAAGATCCATTAAGAAAGAGTAAGAGATTACCTACCTTTCTTTCGATTGTCTATCACTTTTTTCCCTTAGAACAAAAACAAAATAGAATCGATGGTAATGACATCAATATCTAATGATCACTATATAGACATAAAAATGTTTTTGTTTTCTCATTTTTTCTTTTGTAAACATACTCTATTATATATTCACTGTTTTTTTTTCTTTCACACTTGTGTTATATTCGTCAAAAAAATTCTATATTAGCTTTTCTTCTCATTTCAGATATCTAACACTAATCAGTTCCATTCGAAAATTAATATTAAAGTTTAATAAAACTATCAGCAAGCAAACATGAAAAACAAATTCAATCAAAGTTAACAAGATGGGAAAGCTCAGCATAAGAAAAAGAAAAATCGTCAATTACATATGAAAAAGAAACAAGTCTCTAGCAAAAACGAATTCCAATTAGCAATGATGGATCCTAGTGAACAGTTTCAAAATTTTTCGACATCAGAACGTTTGCCAAGCAAAAAGCTATCAAATGCTATGGATATGAAAACCAGTTCTGATCCGACATTATTATTACTGGATTATTCAGCAATATCGGATAGCAAGTTTACACAAATGTTATTAACATCGACGCCAAATCTTATGAATCACGATGCTCTTATTGAACTGTTGAAACAGAAAGAAATATTAATATTTATTTGACAACTTACACAACTACTCAATAAATTAAATTATTCTCAATTACAACATGAACAATGGTCTTACTATTATAATCTTGACATGAGCAAGGCTATTTGGAATGGACGAGTATCGAAAAAAATGGCTGATACAAATTCAATGTGTTACACATATGGTCGATTCAAAACTTTAATTAAACAACGTCTTGATAAATATAAACTACAATGTGAAAAAGCTCAAGAGGCTTTTCATGAACATATGAAAAAAGCACTAGTCATTATGGATATGGAAAATATTACCAATATGATCAATAATTTAATCAAAAACCATCAACATCAATTACGACTTGAACTCAAGAGATGAAAAACAATGCTTCGACTAGATGCTGAAGAACATCGACTCGTTGAAAACTTTTATGAACTAAAGCCAAGACAAACGGAAGTTAGCACACCGTAATCTTACATAAATTTTCAAAAAAGCATCAAAGTTTAGATAAATTCAGCAAAGATTATATGGAAAGCTACAAATGAACAGCAAAACATAATCCGTGAAATTGCTATATTTAAAAAATTGCTTCAAGTTCATGCACAAGAATCATCATACACTCTTCAAGGCATACAATTACCGAATATTTACCATATATTCATATCACTTAGCTTTCAACAACAAGCATCATCAGCTGAACATACTACGACAACAAACAATTACTAAAGCTCAAGGAATCGAACAACACTATACAAAAATAGCCACCATTGAAAAAAATAAACTACAATCAATTATATCTCATCATAAAAATCCTCAACTACTCGAGCTAATCATCAATGTCGTACTACAACATGAAAATAATATACAGCAACGTCGTGCGTATGAACTACAACGAAAACTTTCTCATGTATTCAAATAAAACAGCGACTACACATATTGACATCCGACTCAATATATACCATAACTAAACCCGAAAAAAAGCTCTTTTGACTTTAAACTAAACACTCTAACCCTATATAAATCTGTACATAAACCATATAACTTATGAAATAAACATTTGAGAAAATACCTCGAAACATAAATAACACTTTGCCTTTCGTTTCAGATTACACACACACACACACACACACAAAGTTCTACGTCGATCCCATTGAAACTTCCAACAACCGCAAAAAAACACAAATAACAAGAAAAAACATCTATGATAGCACCGACAATCAATATTCTTCATAGTATCACTTGTAAGCTATAAAGGTAAGAGATTCATATACAACAATTGATCCAATACAGCACAAAATTTTACTTCAGGCAGAATTTTCCAAGTGAACTACAACATGTCCAATTATATTTAGGTTTAAGATTGCTAGTATCGCGGCCTGCGCCACTTGATAAAATTTGAGATAGAAACATTCGAAATAATCTATACATAGGTTATCGTGGTAACTTATACACACCCACACACCCACACCCTACATAGGTTATCGTGGTAACTTATACACACTCACACACCCGCACCCATCCACACCCCACACCCATACCCTCACACCTACACCCCACACCCTCACTCACACCCGCACCCCACACACCCACACCCTTGGTGATATTCCTGTCATTGTATTCGGTGACATGGCTCAAATTAAACTGGTTGCAGCTCAACAAGTATTTTATCGTCCATTAGGTGAATTATTTTCTCTATGGCATGATTTATTTTGACCTATGAACTTTCATATTAATATGAGACAAGATGATCAGTTCTTTTTTGATTGTTTGTGTCGAATGTGAATGCGTATCTGATATTTTATTATACTTTTCTAAATAGAAATAATTTACATGATATAGGTTGTTTGGACGAAGAAGCTGAATCGCTGATTAAATCAAGAAGTATAAGTCAACAAGACAACCCTGAAGGCTATCGAGAACGATTAAAAGAGTTAAATTCACCGGACTACGATGTGGATGTGGATGTGAATGTAGGCGTTGATGACGACAGTAACACCCACACCCACACCCACTCCACAGCCACACACCCACAGCCACATCTACTCCATACCACACACATCCATATACGCACGCCCACACTCAAAAAGGTAGAATTGTCGAGGCTCAACGTCAACAATTATCACTGGATTTGATTATATTTTTATAAAAACTTTGGTTTTTTTCTATGAATTTTCAACTATAGGATTCGTATATTGTATTATCCTTTTGTGGTGTTTATTGTTTATTTCAACTATTACAAAAGTTCATACTTCGGCTTGAATATGATAATAAACTCGATTGTAATGCTTAATTTTCTTATGAACAAATATTTTGCTGTATTTTTATTATTTTCATGAACCTTGTATTCTTTTATACGCTAATAATTGAAATAGGGTGATCCATTTATTGAAAAAAGAACAAATATTATTTGCTGGGTCTGATCGAGTATCGAATTGCGCCTGATCGAGTCACTACCCCGGACAAAATTAACGCACCATGTATTTTTGATAGATATTATCATTAACGGTCGACCACGAAAAATATAAGTTTTTCAGAAATTTTTTTCGTCTATAGAACTTTCTAGAGCTCGTTTCACTGATCATTTTGGTAGACAAAGATATTCAAATTTACTCAATAAATAATGGCATTAGAGTCAAAATACTCAAAACTTAGGGCTGTGCGTGACCACTGCTGAGTAGTAGGTGATATTTTTGAGTATTCTGAGCCAAGGTTCGTTATTTATCGAGTAAATTTGAATATTTTTTTTACCAAAATGATCAACGAAACGAGCTCTACAAAGTTCTATAGACGAAAAAAATTTCTGAAAAATTTATATTTTTCGTAGTCGATCGTTAATGATTATATCTATCAAAAATACATGTTGCGTTAATTTTGTCCGTGGTAGTCAGGTTTGGGTGAGAAGTCAAATCTGTGTAGGACTCTATTCTAAACAAAGTTTTGTTTTATCAAAGTTCAGCATCATTATGACCACGTATTTGTTGCATCGGTATGTCAACTGACATAGGATACTGTGGAAAATTATTTGAAGCTTGTTGTAATTCGATTGATGGTAATCGTCTCGCTGGTGCAATATTACCAACTAAAACACCATTTCGAGTTAATACACGAATATTATTATTAAGAGATATGGCTTGTTCTTGTATAGATTCATTTGGAACAGTTTGATAATTCTATAGTAAAAAAGCGATATGTTATGTATGTTTTTCTTTCTAAATTAACTTACTAATGCTCGAGATGGTACTTGCGGCACATTGTAAAGAACCTAGAAAAATGACAAAACATTATTAAGAAAAAAAAATGATACTAATGCTATAAATATACTTCAGCACTGCTTTGACCATTTCTTTGTTGTCGACATTTAAAATGAAGAAAATAAAATAAACCGATAAGTAGTAAAACAAAACCTATTGGTCCAAGAACAGCACCAATAATCCATAATTTACTATCAGTTGTCGGAACTGACAAGTTAGACGAAATACTTGAACTTTGCACAAAATTCCCGTCAAATGAAAAACCCAATAAACTGATTATTTGATTTGGTGGTATTCTGGCCATGGCCGTGTGGACCTGCGTGGCGGACACTAATGTATATGTCCATGTGTCATTCACAATATAATATACTCTATACAATACCGGATTAGCATTAGGAGCAGAAATCTAAATTAGTATGAAAAGAAAATTATACATATGAAATAAATAAAGAAGGCTCTTTGTTTATTTAACAAAGCTTGTTAGCACGAACTTATCAGAGACCAAAGTGTGAACCTCACAAACTCTAACTATTAAAAATTTATCATATGTTGTCAGAGGTATTTAAATAATTTGTTGAAAAAAGGGCCGAATCAATGAATAAATCAAAACTATAACAATTTTTCTAGCTATTACACGTGTTAGTAAATTTTATCATTTAAGAATTTGCGAATTTATAATTACTTTTCTATCAGTTTATACGATTCATATAACATTGCTATACTGTAAAAGCTTATTTCTATGGTCCGACACATCTTCAATCTATAACTTCTATATTCCTAATAATAAACTATATATAATATGTGTCACACCAGGCCGCAAATATAATTTTACTATTCGTTTCGTCGACTAAACTACCGTATTAGTGTGCCAAACATATTGATTTTACCCTGCAGTAAGCTATCGAGCACACTATCCTTTCTCTCGAACACTTTTCACATATATTGCGAAGTTTTGCCTTAATTTAGAATTCAATTAGTTCCTTTTTTTCTATGTCTGTCGACCTATTCTGATCCTGCCAGGCAAAAAAAATGACCGAACTATTGATTGACATGTGGAATAAGAGTTTTTCGCTGCATGAAAAACTCAAACTCACAATATCAAGACTAAACAGTTAGATTCTAAAGATTTTCAGAATGATCTAACCGCTCCTATTAGTGAAATACCATTTCCAATTGCTTTGTAAATCAACCCAAGAATCTTTGGCTTTCCTCTGCACCGTTTGCTAGAGACTAGGCCGAGTTACTAGGGTGTCTAACGCGGACGGGATCTTCCCGCCGTCTATAACACATCCACTACGACAAGAGGAGCAGAGCCGCAAACCTCGACTTCAACTTACAATCACAATTTCCTTTCCACCAGCTGTCATTGACGTCCGCATAGATGACCCTGATGCTATTTGAATATCGTACCTCGAGGTTGCCTGACGTTTCCGCCGCGATGATTGTGGACACCCTGATATGGATGAATTGTTTGAACATTCAAGGCCAAAATTTATAGCTCTGGATAATCCCTGTCGAATGTTTTCCACCTGACTACTATTATTTGGGTCGAAAATTGTTGTACTGTAAACTTGGAAAACTATAATGCACAT